ACCTTGTATTCCTTGAGACTCCTCATGTTGTAGAAGGGTCTGATATATTGTGTAAAAGGTAAGCAACGTGAATTAAGCATCACATCTCTATCATCTTTCGTTTCAAAGCAACCAGCACTGAAACACGTCGTAAATTGCTAATGGATTTGGTAGTACGGAGAGTGTGACTCCTTTGGGAAAAAGCAAGAGCAATACAGACCTTACTAGTCAAAGAGTTAATAGAATATTATGTTCAACGAACGATAGAAGAGCCATTATGTAGTGCTTAATATACTCTATAAAGTGCTAGACTTAGAAAACATTCGTTGTACTGCAACCAAACCATGTAGTAAAACATTTTTGTGCAGTATTGATATCCTACGGTTATATTCATTCCAATTCAATAGATGATTGGTCCATACGTTTATCTGGTTGTAAACCATTTGCCTCTACCATAAACCCCCGAACCTTTGAATAAACAAAACCTGGATGCACAATTGCCAAAAGCGTGCACACAATTAGCATGGGTACTGAATCAAAAATGTAGGCAAACACGGCATGATCAAAAATATAACCCCCAAATCCTTGGGCATATTCAATCAATCGAAAGATATTTCTGATAAAGAATAAAACAATTACTGCGTACAAAACTTTGAAATAAGTCCTCCAGCTGTGAAACCCCGTCATCTTTGATTGTAAAGCCGTATTGTTGACCTTGCGGTGAGCCAAAGCCACCAAGGCAATAAAGCAACAAAAGGAGATTATTTGTAAAACAAACCCACCAATAACTAACCCTTGACCAAGCGCTTTATTGTCTTCTATCATCTGTAACACAACTCCCGCAATTTGAAGACCAAAGGTGATATCCCCAATAATGAATAGAAACGATTGAAACTTTCGATTAAACCCCACTTTAAAAATTTCTAGTTTTTTCAATAACCCTCCAAGTGAAACATACACGGAAGCGGCTATGAAAATGGGGGCAATGATTACCTGTACGCTTTGAACACCATTTCCTGCACTATTTTGAAAGTAAGCACTTATCTCCAAAATCATGCCTATGATCAACCACAACATGTGCCACGACCTTTTCCAAAACATGAAAACCACATGAACAACTGTAAGAATGATGAAGCATACGCCGAAAAACACTGAGGCTCCTTTGGAGCTTACAATACCGCTGCTGGACATAAGCACTTGAAGTTAAAAAATGCTTTCAAGCTTTATAAAAATTTGGTTCTTCTATAGTAACCATATATAAGCCGAACTCAAAGGAAACCTTTTTACGAGGCTATGTCAAGTTGTTGCTCGCGGGAATTGAAATTCCACGGCCTTTGACATTGTTACTTTTTTGTGTTAGCGATGCCAGAAAATAGGGATACCAGGTTCATCAACATGGTGGTTACAAAAACAAGGGTAACTCTTGTCAACATAGTGACATGGTTTCAATGGTGGCTTTTTCCCTCGACGGATGAAGCTTAGAAACTCGAAGATTTTGATCAACTTAATGTCTTGAGGATTAATCTTTGGAGCGTCATTCAGCCACTCAACATCTTAAAAAAACGCAAACGCGAAGGTTATTGTCACCACTCGAATAAACCTTGACCTACTTGAGTTTTTCTTTTTCCTAAATTTGCAATGGGAAATAAAATGAAACCGGAGTTGTTTTCTTCAGAATAGGAGACACAGTTTGCGCGGCTTTGTTTGGTTTTTACTTTGTGCATCTATTCTAAAAATAGCAAGGGAATCTATAAATAGAAGCAGATATACGAGAGAGAGATTCTTATCTTTCTTGTATAAATTTGTAAAAAAAGACGTGTTTCATTGATCAATACAGGTGTGTTCAATATAAACAACTGAGATAATAGTATAACAATCAACAACCATAGCACCTATATAAAACGGCTTTTTGTTTCGGGAAAAGTAACAAACTAGATCCATCTTGCCTCTTTAGTTCAAGAAATCGTCGTTCAAGTGAAATTCCATTTCTAAATCTGGCTGGAACTCAGTATACAAAGCATCAGGACCACCATGTTTATTTTCGCAATATTCCGCCTCTTTTTCACCAATTACTTTTAACGATTCGCCGGACTTCAGTGCCAGCTGGGCTAGCAATTGAATCTGACACGATTTCTCTAGCAATGTAAATAGATATCCAGCTTCGTCAATGGTAGAGCCAACTGTCAACAACCCATGATTTTGCAATATGATCCCTTTACCACGACCTAAAGCCTCTACTATTCTCTCGCTTTCTTTTGCATGCAACACAGCTCCGTTAAACTCGGGGTACACAGAATGACGCTTGTAGAATATGCATACGTCTTGATTAATCATGTCCAATTCTTTACCAAAGCAGCTCCACGCTTTGCCATAAGTCGAGTGGAAATGACAAGCAGCATGAACCTCGGGCCTCGCTTTATGAATAGCAGAATGCATAAGGAAACCCGCCGTTTTGATAGCAGCTTGGTTTCCAGTAGGCAACACATGTCCATCTTGATCACAATGAACTAAATCACTAACTTTAATTAATCCAAAATGTTTATCCATAGGGTTAATCCAAAACGTTGTAGTATCTATTGGGTCACGAAGGGAAACGTGGCCAATAGTACCTTCAGTGTAACCTTTTCGAGCAAAGACTCTAAACGCACCAGCCATATGTTGCAACGCCCATTTGCGCTTGTCTTTTGCAGAATTGAACTGTGGAATCAGATACCGATGGGATCCACCTTTGACGATTCCAGGTGAATTTCTATCCGAAAATTGACCATTTACTGATATCTTGACCGTTGTTGAGTCTGAGCAAGTTTTGGTAGTAGAAGAAGTCATTTTTCTCTTGGTGGTAGTAGTAATTTAGTGTTTGATGTGCGCTAGGGTTAGGAGATTAACTTGGAAAAGGATCCAAATAGCAGATATTTATAATCCTTATCTTACGCTTGAGATAAAGTAAATGCATATACCCCTTTAGGTACTAGAAGGGAGCGGCAATGTTGAAATTTGGCTATTCTTTTCGGCAACCTAACGGAGAAAGGAGTTTACAAAGCTAACGAAATGCCGCAAATGTTCTTGTTCTTTTTAGACTTCAGCCGCTTCCATTGTTCTTTTACTCCCCCCTTCCCCTTTTTTTAAAAAAATTTATTATTTACCTTTTCGGTTATCGTTTACGCTTTAGAAAAAAGGAAAATAGAGTTCACTTAAAATAGAAACAAATTGTTCCGAGGTTTTGAAGGTCTAAATTTAGTTTGTATCTACAAGGATGTATAATAGAGAGAAGAGATTTGTTACTTATCAAATTCTTCTTTTTAAAGATCTACATCCTTTCTTTTGATTGGCGTTCTAAGCTGTGAAAATTTTGACAATGGAAACGTAGATCTTTCTTAAACGCAATAGACGATCTCAAGTGCCACTCGGTCCTAAACCTTTTTTCTTCGCCTAATTTGAATTTACATTTTCAGTTGTTTATCCTCTTGAGCTGTGTACATGTAATTAGGTGGAAAACACTTCGGAGAAACAAAACAAAACAATAGCGGCATATAGCAAGTAAAGAACCAACCACTCCTTCTGCTCATACCAAGTGAGGAGAAAGGAAGGCTTTGAAAGAGATAATTCTTTAGACAATGTTACACAATCTCTTACTTCCTTCTGTATACGTTTGTTTTACTTCATCAGAACCATTCGAAACATCCAGACCTCAATATTATTTCTCATTCTATTGTTTGCATCCTAACTTATATCTCGCTTTGTTTAGAACTAGATGCTGATGCCTATGAATCAATCAAAATTACAAAACAATTGGGAGTATAAACAACGGAGGACAAGCTACAGAAGAAGTTGATCTAATATAGAGTATGATGTTCTCTTTAATAACGTATGTTGAGTTTAAACAAGTGCAGCGTAAAGCAGGTGTGCTTCCAAACAACTTCTGTACCATATCCCTAGCCAATGGAATAAAACATCTTATATTGATAGATAAAGCGTGGCTGAAGAGGGGAAATGACGTATTAAATAGCTCCTCTGTATCACGTGCATGGATTCTAAAACCGAGATTTTGTAACCTTGTGTACAAGAAAAATGAAAAAAAAAAATTAGAACAGTTTATATTTGCAACACCAAAAGACCTTTTATTGGAACAGATTGCGAATGTTTATACGACATGCTGAACACAATGTATCTAGACTCACAAGATGTTATTTGTCAACTATAGCTCTCCCCGAAACAAACGTCAAATATGAGAGTAATAATGCCTCTATTCCGGATGAAACAACAACAAATGCGAAGACAATCAAAACCCCAGCCCCAATCAAGTTAAAACGTCAAGATGTTAAAAAATTTTACACGCTATTCAAAATGTCTGAATTTAGCTCATCAATGACTCACGATGACAAATTGACCAAGAGTCTACGCTTATGGGCTCGCAAGTCGGCTAAGGAACACAACATTATACATACCTCAATGGAGAATATTCTCAGTGAGGCGGTTGAGTTGCACAAAGGACCTTCTGAGTACCCCTTACAGGATAGTATATCTTCCAGTGGCACTTCATGGGGTGATGAAAATGTGGTTGATGATGTAAATCAAGGCTACAAGAAACCAAAGTATAGATACAACTTGACCTCAGGAACAAGACGAATTAAATTTACCACACCTTCAAGTAAAGTACGACGATACTATCAATTTTTACAGCTTGAGCAATACAAAAAGAGTCAGTCTCAACAGGATCTAGACCCAGTAACTAAATCCAAAGTCATTGCTCGAGCTAATCGAGAATGGAGAAATATACCATCATTTGAACGCTTTGTTTTGAAAACTGATTACGAAAATTTACTTTATACTGGGAGGGATCTAAGCCAAGATGGTGAAGCAGTTGTTTCAATTGAAGAGAGTGAAAGGTATAATGGAGTAGTTCATAAAGTTCTTGGAGAAATTGAGCCGGGAGTCGATGCCAGGGGAAATAAGAGAGTGCCATTGTTGAAGTTTATCATTAATGAAATGACGGGATTTGTTTATGTTTACGGACTAACTGATTTTCACGTTTGGAATTATTACTTGGCAAATGAGTTTGCAGCGAGAATTGATGGCAGGTGTAAAGATATTGGGGCATTGATTAAGGAGATTGAAAGTGATTGGCTTAAATTAGACGCCTTGGCCAAATCGAAAATAAGAATTGAATATTTGAATTTATTGTCACGAGGTCAAGATTTGCTTTATGGCAAATTAACGTCGATTGTAACCAAGCGAGATATAGTTGATAAGCCAAAGCAATATCAAGTTGTTCGTATACGAGGTGATTCAAGCTCATTCAATATAGATGAATGTGAAATATCGCCTAGTAAGTTTACAATCACTCAACCGTCGAAAATACGATTCATCAGGAATGCCTTTGTGGGAAACACAATTATTGTTGGTGATTTGGATTTAACGCATGCATGGAACTACTTTGTTTATAAACAACAGCAGCAGGAGCAGAAGCAACGTAAAAACATTGAAGATGAGCTACAATTTCACCAAGGCTTGATTCACCAGTGGAATCAAGTTTTAGATGCCGAAGCTAAACAACAGTATTTAGACCAGTACAAGGCAATGTTGATATCAGGGTTTGATATATACATGGGTGAAAAAATGCCCATTGATACCAAAATGGATAAAACAGGCATCAAGAATTTGATTGTTGACGTATGGGGTCAACCAATAACTCAAGGAACTGGTCGTAATATATCAGTTGATCCGTTGCCGATGTCAATTGACAAATCGACTAATAAGGTGATATTATTGAGTGAAATTAAAGATGTCCATGCGTATAATTACTTTTTGGCGAGAAAGTTGGCGGAGCAGAGTGGTGGTGCCAATGGTGTTGCTGACTATTCAAAATTACCTCATTTGCAGCAATATTGGCTTATGTTAATGCCAGAGCAAAAACGCACATATTCCAATGAATATTTGCAGTTACTAAACAGTGGTTACGATTATGCTTTTGGTAATGTTGTTCCCCTTGTCGATAAATTAAAATTATCGATATATTCAAAGCCCATAAAATTAGTTGGTCCTGGTACCAAGTCTGCATTTAATGCTGAAGCAACAACAGCAACAGCAACAGTAACAGCTAGTAAAGGTAAAAGTACTAATTCCGATGATATACACTCGAATGCTTTCGACTATTACCAATACTCACGCAAAACAATCGATCACGTGCTGGACGTCGATCAGATTGTTAATGAATGGCACAGTATGTCTAGCAAAGAGAAATTAGAAGTTGAAGAAGCGTATGAAATGATGGTTGATTCAGGATTTGAAATGGTTAATGGAGTACTTAAAGAAGTATAAAGCAGAGAATAACGAGAGATAAGATAAAGAGACTACTGTGTGAGTTAGAGTTAGGCGAATGTGTGCCCATTTATGTATATATGTACTGGTTATGTCATAGATCCATTTTTCCCTTTAACCTCTTCGTTTATTTATATTGTATCACAAGAGAGCTCAGGATTAACTTCTTCATAGAGACAAAAGAAAAACAATAAAACGGGTAAATTCGTAAAGTATTTGAAAAAGAATGTGAAATTTTTTATAATCTTTTAGTTGGTATTCGGTGTTGCTAGTCCTTGCAAGTGACCACTTTCTAGTCTCCAACATTGTCCTTCAATTTTTGCTCCACCAACGTTTAAATCTGGGTTACTACTTAGTTATTGTCACCCCTATCTTTTTGTATAAATAATGCAAAGTTAAAAGGACCCGAATTACCGAGAGAAATATGTGTAGAGAAAAGCACGCTTATGTGTGAAAGAAGAAATATTTTAGACCTCGGATAATAGGAAGTAAATTAGAGTACAAAAAGAGATTAATTCTATTACGTAATTATAAAAGTAGAAAAAGAGGTAGTGTACCTTTGTACCTTTTGTTTGTTCTTTTATTGTCTCCGCATTTCTAAAACATAGACGTACAAACAAACATACTAACAAACAAACAAACAAACATACTAACAAACAAACAAACAAACATAGACAACCTATACCATGAGTGTTAGACAAACTGTAAGACAAAGAGAAACTTGCAGTCAATTACACTACCTTGCGTTTTTTTTTGACTTTGGCTTTGGCTTTGGCTTTGGCTTTGGCTTTGGCTTTGGCTTCTGAAATAATAAAACGGTTTTGCTTGGCCAAGATAATAATACATACAAAGGAGTAGTTCTTTCTTCATAAGAGAGGTAGAGAGACGGACGAGGAGTAGGGCAAAGCTATCCGGAGTGTAATTACTTTAGTATATTTTAAAAGAAGGATGGGTTTTGTCAACCAAATTAAGTATAAATTCACCACTACTCTTTCTTGTTTAAACTTTACTTTCGCTTGTACAGAATGATTCCATTTTGTTTTGTTTTCCTTTTACCACAACAAACTACTGAGTATGGCTATCTTGTTTAACATTACACGTGTTTCACTTATACAGCCACTTGACTCTCTTAGTTTATACAGTTATACTTGTCTCCAAGTTGTCTTACTGTTTGTAGGTTGTTCCAATCTCTACTTTCTCCATATTTGCTGTACCCCAATTTATTTTGTGGCACATTTTATTTTTAATTTTATTTCTTTTATTTTTTTTTTTGTTGATTTTTCATTTGACATTTTTTTCTCCCTATTTAATCAACATCATTTTTCCCCTTCTTGACTCAACAGAAAGGATTTTAAGCTGAAGAAACACCTATATAATCCTTTTAAACTTGCACTAGAGGTCACTTAATTACAATGGTTGCTGATACTATAATTTACCACCCTACATTAACCAAGTTGGTTAAATTTTGGGATTCAACCCCAAAGAGAGAAAAATCATTTAGATTATTAGCTTATTTATCTCGATTCTTATCTTACTATGCTTACAAAAAGGGTTACCCAAAGGAGACTATAGAATTATTTCAAGGATTAAAGAACCATTTCTCATTTATCAGAAAAGGTATGAGATTTTTCAAACCAATTCCACATTTACAAACAGCAGCAAAAGCTTATGATAACCAATTAATGGATCCAGTTTTACAAGCCACTACTATTATTAGAAACTTGGGTTATGCTGGTTACTTGGCTATTGACTCGGTTGTTTTTGCTAAAATGTTGGGTCTTATTGATGCCAAGAAATGGCCAAACTTGTCTACTTATGCTAGTAGATTCTGGTTGTTGGGTTTAGTTGCTGGTATTATCCACTCATTGAGAATAATCTCTTCATTGTCTTCATACAAACGTGATCCAACGGATGAGAAATCTGCTGTTGATGAGAAATCAATTGGTAAACAATTGTACCAAGCCAAGAGAAAATTGGTTTGGGACTTGTTGGATAGTTTTATTGCTTTGAACACGTTGAATTACTTGCATTTCACTGAGGGTGATGTTGGCTTAGCTGGTGTCCTCACTTCTATTTTCGGATTGGAAGATATGTGGAAGGCAACCACCGTTTAAGGAAAACATAAAGAAGGAGCGGAGAAGAAATGACACGAGAGATTAGAGAAGGTATAAAACTGTGGTTAGTGAAGCTATTGTGGTGAAAAGTGGTGATGTGTGACTTAGACAACACGAGAGGAAGATGCTTTTGACTTTCTTAATATTTAGATTTCAGATGGTAGAAATGGTTTTTGAAGAGGGTTATATACAGAGTTGTTTACCAATTTGTTTAATCAAATGACATGATAGATATTTTTTTACTTTGCTATTGGAGACAATATTGGCATTATTATTACAAAGTTGTAGAAACGTACTCTAGGTTGAGTACTATCTACGCATGTCTGATACTCTGAATTAACTTTTCTCTCCTTCGTTATTCTCATTGTCAACAGCCTTATCCACTTCACTTGCAGCAACAGGTTCAGCCTCGTGCAACTTATCATGTAGTTCAAACCCTGCCCAATAATACTTGATTAGTAGATTCTTCAACTCCTGAGTTAACTCTTCACTATTTCGTTGATATTGAATTAGTGTCAGTAGAATTGGTGCATCCTGGCTTATGTCAATGCTATCGTTGGGTGGTGATTGTTGACTTTGTTGTTGCTGCTGCTGCTTGTGCTCACTGATTGATGAATCTAATTTTTGTTTCTTCTGGAGTATCCTTTCATCAGGCGCGATATTCTTGAGCTTCGTATATGCCATGTATGAGTCAAGCCATATAAAATTGGCTTCATTGTCTAGACTTGTCATCTGTGTGCATGTGTGATGTGTGTGTGTCTATTACAATAAGTCACATCAGTCTACAGTACACTTTTTGTCGATCTTTGTGTTCAACTCAAATCCATCAAATCCATCTCGCTCTTAAACATTTTTCTTAAATTTTTTTTACAACCAAACGCATCTACATCACATTAAGATAAACAAGATCCACCTTCACCACTACACAACATAATAGTCATGTCAGATTTGAAGGAATATAGAATACATATAGGAAATATATCACCTAAACTTAAGGAAAATAGTAATTTGTTGCAACAACGAATAGGCAAATTTGACGTTAAAGTGATATCACAATTGGAATTCCATACCAAACCGGTTGAGACCAAGTACTTTGCTTATACCACCATACATGCAAGTCCGTCGAATTTCAGCAAATTGAAAAATTCCCTTCATGGCGTTGAATTCATGGGAATGAAATTGAATATTGGACTAGCTAAACCATCGTATCAGGAACGGCTCAACAAGTTACTGAAGACTAAGGTAAAACAATTGGAAAAAGAAGAGACCAAGCAAAGTAAAATATCCGAGTCAAGACTGGATAGGTTACTTGAATTGCGTACAAGCTACTCAACTAATCCAACCACATCATCTATTGTAACAGCACCCAAGCCCACTATCTATTCTGTTTCTCAACATACGTTCAACGATGCATCCGCCAATACCAAAAATGCACCGCCAACTCATAGACTAGATGGGTCTAAATCATACGGTGCTACATTGGACAGCTTGAATTTCAAATATCGAGATGGATCTGCCCATTCATTAGTCAAAGGAGTTCATCGTCGAAATCCAAGAAAAGATATCCGACTGCAAACATTGCGTATTTTAGTCAATGGTGAATTGAAGACCTTCAAGTTTTACAAGACAAAACTATGGGGAGTGGAGAAGAACAAAACAGCCAGGGATTTGACCTGGAAATATGATGCCAAAGTGGGATGGAAAAGTGGTGATGATCACTTGATTGAAGGTGTGATTAGGAGACCTTGTGGAATAAACGGTGAGCAAGCTTTGAGGTATGGTGACGAAACAGTATCTCATGTTGAAGCATCTGCTGGAGCTGAACATTGCATGAGTGGTGATGATGACGAAGAAGATGATAATGAAGCTAGAAAGAATAAAGCGATTTTAGCATCGTTGTTGAATAATTACGACTTTGATAAACCGGTTGTGATTGATGAGGAGAGGGAAGTTGATATGGATGACGTCGAAGTGGATTCAAAGGGGCGTAAAACAGTCAAGCATTATGATTACGAAGTTGAGGGAAAGGCTGGAGATGACAACGATGATGAGGAAGATGGAAATGGAGTGGATGTGAATGTTGAAGAGACGCTAGCTTCACATCGAGCTGAATTGATGAAACCAGTGAAAGAGGTGTATTATAATGAAGATGATGAAGGGAACGACTTGAATTTTGACACGTTGCAGCCGGCTTCTAAGATTGACGCAGAAGATGAAGGAGTTGATGCCATTCTGAATAATGAAAGGAGGAGTCATGGTCATCCAGATAACAATGATGAAGGAGAAGACGAAGGTGAGGACAAAGAGTTTGTCCCTTCCTTCGGAGCCCCTGCCTCAAATACCACCGAAGCACTTCGATCTTTATTCAACCCAACTACTGCAAACAACCAAACCCAACCACAACAAGAATCAACTTTTAAACTAGCATTGTCGGATGACGATATTGACGTTGATGAATCCAAATCTACACATGATGTACAGATACAGAAACAAGAAGAAGAGAAACTTTTGACTCAAATTCAACAACGTAAGCAAGAGGAGTTTGCTCAAAGCTTGCAACAACAAAGACAGAACCAATATGGACTATTTTGGCCTCATTTTGATTCACCTTTCTTATCAACTCAATCGCAATTGGCCAAAATTGGTAACTTAGGAGAGTCCGGGTTCAACCTACCTCTGATGAATAATGGCGGCGTTGCTTCTGGCGATAATGCAAAGGAAGGGGAGACGGAGTATGAGAAATGGTTTTGGTCGGTACGTGGTGAATTTAGTCGTGAGTGCAAGAGACGTAAGCGTGATTTGTTAAGGATAATGCGTAAGAAGAGAAACTAGTGGAGAAACAGAAGTTGTTGGTCAACGTGCTATTAGCTGAAATCAAGTAAATCGATGTACAGTGAGTGTCCAATTATCGACAGAACTTAGTTATTGACGCACACACCGTAGTTAAGAGCTAAATTTTGAATTTTATAGCACAACAACCTGACTTTTCTGACAATAAAAAAATATACCATTTGATAGAGCCTGTATTATAAAGATATTTTTACCAACTCTTGCCTCTCTGACGCCTCTTCAAGTACGCTAGATAGGAGCTCAAAAATGAGTTGCAAAAATGGCTCTTAACTATGTGATTTTTGCAACTCCAAGAGTCAGGCATGTCAATAACTTCCCAAAGACCTCGAGAGGTAATCATCCTTATTCATATGATAACATATTCAAAGATCAGACTCATAAAATTAGGTGTTTTCGACTTTTAAGGTTTTGCAAATTTTACATACAAAATTTTGCATTTTGGAGAAACCAACAAATGTAATGAGAAACGCGATACATTTGAGTTGATTCATTATCATTAAGTGAACACTTTGCTGACAATGCCACCTACCACTGATTCCAGACCACCTCAATTCACATTTGCCAATGTCTCAAGGGATATTTTTGATGGAATTCTTGCCCTCATCATCAACCCCCAAGCAACACGAGTCACGTATCCACTAATCGTCTGCATCGCATCAATAATCACCAAAATCATAATTACTAGAGTCGCCTACACTGAAATTGATTATACCACATATCTACAACAGATCGACAAAGTGAATGCCGGGGAATTGGATTATGCCAATATATATGGAGATTCAGGACCTATTGTTTACCCCGCTGGGTTCATCACTGTATATCAGTATATTCAATGGCTATGCGGTGATAATGTGAATGAAGCTCAATATATTTTTGGTTATTGTTTTACGGCAACTGTGGCATTGGTGTGCTTCGTTTATGCCCAAATTTGGGATTTACAGCCGTGGCCGGTGTATTTGTTTTTGGCAAGCAAGCGATTGTTGTCGATTTATGTGTTGAGGTTGTTCAATGATTGTTGGACTACTTTGTGCATGGTGGGAGTTGTTTTGTTGTTGCAACAAGCTGCCATGTTTAAAGAAGTGGAGAAGATAGAGGAGAAGAAGGAGAAAGACCAAAAGCTGGAGGTTGTTAAGAGTAAGGATCGGAAAAATGAGAAGGGGAAGAAGGGGAAGAGTGAAGAAGCATCACAGGTGATTAAAGAATCTCCATGGCCTGACCTTAGTTTCTTGTTGAGCATAATAGCTGCTGACTTATACAGTATTGCCATCTCAATCAAAATGAATGCATTGTTATACATGCCTGCTTTCTTCATCGTAACCTACTTCCTAAACGATGAACACTTGATCAAATTCATCATTGTTGTCGCTATAATCCCCTTGGTGCAAATTATAATTGGCTGGAGGTTCCTCTTGCTTATGTTTGATGATGATTTGGCACGGACAATTAGATGGAACTATATCACACAAGCATTCAATTTTGGTCGACAATTTTTATATAAATGGACAGTCAATTGGAAATTTGTGCCTGAACCTATATTCACATCGATTCAATTTGGACATGCATTATTAGCCCTTCATTTAGCTGTGCTTGTTGGCTTCACGTATACCAGGTTTCTCAATTACAAAGTGATTGGTAAGCCCATCACCCAGTTGATGAAGGATGCATTTATCCCCAAAGCCACCATATTGCCAACAAATATCTTTCTTGATAAACGTGTGGCACCACAAGTCATTTTTTACTTTATGGCCATCACGAACCTCATTGGCATCTTGTTCTCACGTTCACTTCACTATCAGTTTCTTGCATGGTACGCATGGACATTGCCTGGCTTACTCCATTTGAACTTCCCAGTATATGTTGGTGTACCATTATGGTTCATCCATGAGTGGTGTTGGAATGTGTTTCCAGCAACAGCAATAAGCTCAGCTGTCTTAGTACTGTTGTTGCTGCTAATTTTGGTGTCTAGTTGGTGGAATTTTGAATCCTGGTTTCCTAAACAAAGCACATTGGATGACTATGATACATTTGTACAAAACGAACAACACTTGCCAATTAAAAAAGATGAGTAATGCATCGGAAAGACGATACTACAATGTTGTATAATTAATAGTAATACAAATAAAAATTATGTATGTAAAGTTTAATCAACCTTTAAAGAGGGTAAAGATGAAGTAAAATGGAAAAAAAAAACAAAATGTAAGGTTATTACAAAGAAATCTCCGTATGGTAAAACGTCACAGTCTTGAAATGTCAAAAAAGTTTTGTAGTCAATCTCATAGAAGAACCAGTGGTAGTTTTGATCTAGAAAGTTAAGTACTAAAGTGTGTGTGTGTGTGTGTGTGTATATCTCTCTCTCTCCTGCTCCATACATATCCACGGCATCTCGTTCATTCTCAATCACCGTTTTCAATTGCATCCACATTCCAATTGAATGCAAGGTCATCATTCAACCCCAGGTCAACAACATTCTCATCGCCCCATAACTGATTAATGTCAAATTCAATATCATCAAAAGCAGCTGAATTGACTCCACCACCAGCACCGCCAAAAAGATCGGCATTTATATTGGCACCACCGCTTCCGCTGCCATTAGCACTACCAGTACCACCAGTACCACCAGTACCACCAGTAATACCACTACCGCCACTATTATTATTATTATTACCGGCATTAGTGTTTTGATGATGGGTATCTGACAACAAATCCACATTGAAGAAGTTTTGTCCGTTGCTCGATGACGATGCACCTAGATGATCATCTGGGAATGAAGAATGATTTGGTGCTGCAGACGTAACAAATGCTTCATGGAAATCATCAAATTCGTTCTTGAAATTTGGTTCTTGGGCGTTGTTATTGTGGTCGTTGGCAAGCTTGGCAACGCTGTTATCTCCTGGCTGCTCGTCTCTTTTGGCAACTTTCTTCTTGGACGGACCTTGTTGCTTCGTCTCTGCCGAGGCTGACGCCTTTTGAGCTGCAGTTTTCTGGTTTCGAGGAGATTCGGCAACAGTATTCATCTTCCGCTTCTTTTTGTTATCAGTGACAGGCTCACTAACTGGTGTAAGCGGCGTAAACTCTTTTCTACCGATATTTGGTGTATAAGATCCGCGTCTCTGAAGCTGAGGTTGATTTTGTGACGTGCTTGGTGGGCCCTGTTGCTGTTGCTGTTGCTTGCTGCTGTCCACACCGGTGTTTGAAGGTGTACTTGCTTGCATCGATACAACACTTTGTTTCCGACTTCTCCTACCTGTTGGTTCTTTCTTTGGCTTTTTATTGCCCATTGCTGGCGACGGTTTATTATTGATCAATGGTGAGCTGTTTGTTGTTGCTGGGGATGGCTTTTGACTAAATTGAGGTGGAGGTGCATTAAACATGGCTGGGGTTGTGTGCAGTGATTGTGATTGGGTTTGAGAGACCTGACTGTTAGAGGCATCTTGTTGCACGGAGCCATTTGAAGCCAATAAATTGGGGTCCGACCCCGTGTTTCTAGCAATTTCTAATCTCTTCTTGTTTTGTTTTTCTAAAAGCATAAGCTGATTTTGGTAATCCTGCAACGCATTGCTGTTTCTACCGTTAGGTATATTAGTACCAAGTGGAACGTTTGTATTGGCATTGGCATTGGCGTTAACAATCGCCAGCTTTCCATTTGTACCAGCATTCCTGCCCCTTCCACCAGGCTGTCCACGTGCAGCTTGGTTATTGTTCTGTGCTTGTGTGACATTTCTAGGAGTATTGCCACCATTTCCACCAGGTCCTGAGGGCGTATATTGACTACCTGACGGACCATTAGGGAAAGGAGTTGCGGGGCCCTGTGATGGTTGGTGCTGTTGCTGCCAAGAACCAGCAGGAGAATTGTGGCCTGACGGACCACTGTTCTTATTTGAGTTTAACTGATTGCTGTTTTGTTGTGCCTGTTGACGCAAGCTATTCATCTGATTCTGCGCTTGTTGCTGTAACGAATTTTTCAACTGCTGTTGAGCCTGTTGCTGCTGATGTTGCTGTTGTTGCTGTTGTTGCATAAACAATTCCTGTTGAACATTCATACTGTTTGGGCTACTAGCATTACCATTCTGTAAAGCCTGATTCTGCTGCTGCTGTTGGTCCTGAGACGGATTTCCTCCCATGTTAATCGAAATCTGTCTTTGAGCAGCTGCAGCTGCAGATGCAGCTTGCTGTTTCATCAACATCATCATTCTTTGCTGGTCAATTGAAGGATTATTTCCAAACTGAGAATTGGGCATATTAGGGAATGGCTGTTGTTGTTGTTGCGGCTGTTGCTGTTGCTGTTGCTGTTGTTGCGGCTGTTGTTGTTGCTGTTGCAACTGCAGTGGTTGCTGAGACTGAAATTGTTGATTTACGGGAAACATGGGTTGTGTATTCCCAGCTCCCATATTTGGGAAATGCGCTGACGATGCCGATGGTGGTTGAGACGCAAGTTGCTGTGGTGCGTTTGGACCGCGAGATACACCTTGCCCAACTGGTCCATTTGGTCCACCTGGTTGTTGCATCAGTTGAGAATTGGCTTGAGCTTGGGCTTGCTGATGATTAGGAAATGGCATGTTTTGTCCTTGCTGCTGGTGGTTTTGCTGTTGGGTACGGGAATTAGCATGTTGTGCTTGTGCTTGTGCTTGTGCCTGTGCCTGTGCCTGTGCCTGTGCCTGTGCCTGTGCCTGTGCCTGCGCTTGTGCTTGTGCTTGTGCCTGTGCCTGTGCTTGTGCTTGTGCTTGTGCCTGAAGTTGCGCTTGTGCCTGCATTTGCGCCTGTGCTTGTGCTTGTGGTGGTAGTGGACCCTGCTGTGGTTGAAGTTGAGGTTGGGTACCTTGTTGCTGTTGATTAGACTGTTGTGCTGCCTGTTGTGTAAGTTGGGCCTGTTGAGTTTGCATTGCTTGCAATGCTTGTTGTTGTTGAAAGTTGGTCATGGACGCAGGTACTGCCATTGCCAATTCCTGTTGTTGTTGTCTTTGTTTTAACAACTGTAATTGATAATACCTCAAGGCTAAATTTGATTTACCATTTTGATCTTGCGATGAGCCGGCCCCATTAAATCCACCATTTTTCGCTTGAAATATATCCCAAAATATCTGCCACCATTCAAATAGGAAACTTTGTGGAGAATCCATAGCCAAGTTCATTTTTGGTAAATCGTGGTCCTTGTAAAACTTCATTTGCAGCGGTGATTGCAGCGGCTGTCTTTGAGAATTAGCTGTTGCTTCGTTGCCTGGAGTCAGGTGTTGCATTTGAGAGCCTGGTGGTGCAACGACAGAAGGAACTTCAGCTTCGTTGACAAAGATTTTAGCTGTTTGTGGTAGCTTGTTCTTGACCAAAAAGTCGTATATGTAAGCGTTGAGTAGTTGATTAGCATTTTTGGCCTGTGAGTCTGATACACTAATAGATGATGCATGATTAAGTGGTTTGTTTAGGGGAGTGTTTCGGCTATTGGTATTGGTGGCACTTTGCTTGCCATTTGCACTATTCATTTTCCAGTTAGGTTAATGGGTTTGGTTTATTCTTGACAATGATTGTATGCAAGGATGGCCCTGTTTTGAATAGTTGTCAGCACTTCTGATAAAAACAGTCCAAAAGGAGAAACAATGTGGAAATGGATAATGGAAAATAAAATAAAATAAAAATAAAAACAACCAAAGAATAAAAAAAAAAGACAGAAAAACACAATTTTAATAAGATCGAAGTGTTAATAGTTGACAAGTATGAGTTGCTGTTTCTGTTGCTGTTGCTGTTGCTGTTGCAGATGCCAATAGTTTAGTCTAAGTTGATTCGAGAACTATTTCGTTGTATTAAAATGTGACTATAGTGTCACGTTGTTGTTGTTGTTGTTGTTGTTGTTGTTGTTGTTGCAATGGGTGAAGTTTCTAAAGGACAAAAAAAAACAAAAAAAAAAAATAATTTAAAAAGGGTGTAAATGTATGTATGTATGTATGTATGTATGTATTTTATGGTATTGTAAACCTAAATCGTTACAATTAAAGATATATAGTACACTCTTTAATTAGAATTTGAATGTCCAAGAAAAATAAAAAGAAAGATAAAAAGTATATAATGCCCAACTGTTTTCTTTGAATATGATACCATCCTAAATAGATAAGATCTGATGCTAAAGAAAAAGAAAGGAGGGGGGAGATGGTTTGTATAGTACTGTTGTTCTTCTTTATTGGAGGGGATGTAGTGTATATATTTGCTTTTTTTGAGTTTAAAAAAATTGTTTTTGGTGAGAGATTTTATTTTATTTATTTTTTTTAAGTTTTTTACTTTTCAGATTAGAATGCATAAAAAGTATGTGTGTATGGAGGTGTATTGCTCATTATCTATACACTGTGGTTTTGTTCTTTTAATTGGCTTTAGCTTTTAGATTGCCCTAGTTGTTGTTGTTTTTGCTCTACTTCTGCCTTAGACAACCCCTTTTTAGCTATGTAGACATTGTATAACTTTTCTTAAAGATATTGTTTATCATTTAATGATATACATACTTGCACAAATCTGAATTGTGTGTGTGATAGAATTACATAAATCAAGGGACTTTGTCTTCAATTTTAAAAAAAAATTCGCTTTTAAACTGTGTCGCATTTAACTAACATGCGACACAACAACTATCATCCCACATCAGCCCACTCAATTAAGCAATACATATGCATCGCATTAGGTGGTTGTCATGACTTCCTTTATCCCTTATTTCTCGATAAATCAAATTTAAGCAAACGTCACACGTCATCAAGTCTATAGATATCCTCTAAACATAATAGCTTTTCTCTTTTCTCTTCTGTTTTTCAGCAATCACTCCAAACAAGTTTGAATCTGTAATACCGTGCCACAAACGTCAACAATAATAGAATAGGCACCTCCAACAATGGCCCATACACAGCAGCAATAGCTTGTTTGCTTCCTTCGCCATACAATGCTATAGCTATCGCTAAGCTCAATTCAAAATTATTGGAGCTTGCAGTGAATGCTTGCGTCACTGTTGATGAGTAGTCAGCATTACATTGTAACTTACCTCGACCATGTTGCTCTTGTTGTTGAGGAGTTAACTTCTCTTCACAGCCACATTTTACAAGAAGTTTTGTAGATTCATTAAGTTCTTCTTCTTCATCACCAGTTGTAGCTCTTGTATTTGTCATGTCATCCACAGTTGATTTTTCATACTCCCTAACTAATTTACCATAATTGGTGTAATTTGAATAGTACCGGAACCCAAAAAACGTACCAAACCACATAATTATAAAATAAAGGCAAAGCGGGATAAAACATTTAAGACTTGCACCAATCTCATGTAAAAATGAGTCACTTTTGGATATGAATATAACAATTATTGTGTATAATAATCCAATCAATGCCCATGGGTTGATCCACGGTAAAACTTTCGTGTTAAACTTTTCCTTACCAATTGTCAACAATGCAATAGCACGAATTAAAGCACCTGATGCCAATGGAATACCTAAAAATACACCGATATTCTTTAACACCAACACAAATAGACTGTCTATATTCAAATTGTTTGCAAAGTCAATTGATTCACCCGTGATTACATAACAAAGTAGGATTTGATATGGTGCATACAATACGATTTGCAATACACTATTAATTAGGACTAGTATTGCACAAAGATCATTAGACCCTAAAGCCAACTGATTCCATATAAGTACCATGGCAATACATCTAGCCATACCAATCATGATTATCCCAGTACGATACTCCTTTTCATTAAATAAGGTAGCCCATGCGAGACCGAACATAAGCAACGGTCCCACAACCCAATTTATAAATAATGATATAACAATTTCACGCCAGTGTTGACTAATATACAAACTTCTCTTATTGTTAGATTTTGTAGCAAGTACTTGTTCGTATTCAATTTTGCACAATGGTGGAATCATCATTATAATGAGGCCTATAGTGAGTGGTATTGATACTGTAGTTAATTTATTATCACTAATGTTGTTAAACACTGATTGTGCTTGTGGTACATACACTGAGATGATTATACCAACAACAATCGATAATATGATTAATATAGGGAGTAATTTGTCCAACAACGACATTTCTTTCAATACTAGCGTGAAATCACGCTTGAATGAAGTTGTAGCCATAGCGTTGTATGAATAATATGAAAGTAAATACTTATTCCTTTGAGTACTCTTTATGTTGGATGTGGTGACGATGTAATTAGATGTCAGAGAATTGCAGTGTGTGTTTCCTTGGCATGGATGAGATTTTAACTATTTTTGGTTTTTTATGATCCTGTGGCACTAAGTTAACTTTAAGGATACTTCTTGTCACTGTAATACTCAGTCCCAACCCCTTGAATGACTGCTACTTTGTGCTACCTCTGGTATCTCCAATTTTATGAGGTACTAGTAATTATACTCCATTAGGTGTTGTCTGCTTTGTTAAAAAGATAGTATTGGGTAGCGAAGTCAAACTATTTCATCATTTTAATATTCCTTCTCTCAATAGGAATACAAACAACTCACGTCTACCACTTCATTATGAACACATCGTTCTTGTCGCTGAGTGGCTCATCGACCACATATACTATAGATGAAATACCCACATTGATATATACTCCTGATCGACCCGATAGCACCTACCTGAACCAATCAAGTTCAACAGCCACCACCACCAATTCACTAGCATATGAAGAAAACACATTTATCAACTGGAGCCAAGAAACACAGCTCATACCACGTCTCCCGTCCAATTTATCCAAGAAGTGGATCACCCTTGTTCTACTGGCATTAGTTTTAGGATACACTGCAGCGGCAATCGATTTGATTTCAGTCTCCCTCAATGATTTGAAAAAGGGTATTTGTTTAAGTAACTTGGATGCTTGGAGTATTTTCAATCCATACCTGACGTGTCCGGCTGATGAGTGGTACAATTGGTCGAGACTATTGACTGGCTCCAACGCAATATGGAGTAACATTATTATCAATTTCCCCATATATTTCATTTTCGCCGTGCTATTTGCCATGGGCGCTAGCTATCTTACTATCAATCGAGAACATCTAATACGTCAATCGGGTATACCTGAGATCAAATTACTCATATCTGGTTTCAACTTAAATGTTAGCAAGTATTTGGGTTTACATACATTGTTGTACAAGATTGTTGGGTTAATACTAGTTGTTAGTTCAGGCCTATGGTTAGGTAAGGAAGGACCCTTGGTCCATGTTTCTTGTTGTGTATTCAACATCATTTATGAGTTTTTCATACTGAGGAATTTTGGCAGCAAGCCGAATGAAGCAGTACGTAGAGAGATCCTTAGTGCGGCCACGGCAACAGGAATATCTGTCGCTTTTAATTCACCAATTGGCGGAGTGTTGTTTGTTTTGGAGAGTATGCCGAGTTATTTCAGCCCCACTAAAATTATGTGGAACTCTTTTGTTGCAGCTACAGTGGCAATAATTGGTTTAACAGGATTCAATGCGTTTACTGACGGTAGTAACTTCACCGAACAAGATTTGTTTCAAGTCAACTTTGGTAATTTTAGCTGGTTGTTTTTGGAGGTTATTCCATTCGTTATTTTGGGAGCTCTTGGTGGCATGTATGGTTATTATTTCACCAAACTCAATCAACTTTTTCAACAGAGATCGTTGCGGAGAAAAGTGCAATCAATATTGGTGCAACTCAGCAAGGTTGATATTAAGTGGGGCCCCTATTTGGAAGTTTTAGCTATAGTCGTGGTCACCACGACTTTCAGCTTCCCATTTGAAATTTCAAAGTTACCCTTGGGCTCTTATCTAATTTTATTATTCAAGGAGTGTCCCAAAGAAGCAAGCGATGACACTAATGCCGAGGATTTTCTTTGCCTGACGTCAAATGTAGTGACTCTGTTGAAGTTACTTTATATTCTTGTGCAAGGGTTTGGACTTACTGCTTATACATTTGGAGTTGACTTACCTGGGGGTATTTTGATGCCTTCATTGGTTTTGGGTGCCACTACGGGGAGGCTTGTGGGAATCTTGAGTCAGGTCCTACAATCAAAATTTAGCTGGGAGTCGTTGGCCACTTGTACGGAAAAGTCGTGCGTTGTTTCGCCATCATCGTATGCAGTTATTGGTGCTGCATCATTCATGACGGGTATTACTAAATTGACCATGTGTGTCGTTGTCATTATGTTTGAAATGACTGGTGCTGTATCCTATGTATTACCAATCATGTGCGGTGTTGTCACTTCCAAATTTGTTAATGATTGGCTCACACCGTCAAATATTTATGATACATGGTTGCAAAATAATTTTAATAGACCTGGCCTGGGGTCGGATCTAACTTCGGGAATGATCAATGAAGGTAAAGGTACCGGCATTGTGTCATTTTCCAATTTAACGTCAACAATAAAATCAAAACTTCCTGATGTAACTGTACGTGCATTGATGGTACCATTGGAGCAAGTGAAATGTCTTTGCTTGGTTAATGAAGGCGAACCTTATAATGTCAATTATTTGTTTGAGTTTATCAATGATGATACGCATGAAGGGTACCCCTTGATCATTAACTATTCTAATCCTGTGTATATTGGTTATGTCACCAAATCAGAACTTGTCAGCAAGTTGCAAAGCATTACTCGTCAAGACTCGTCAGAACCAGTGTCGTTCCAGGTTGAGAACTTACCCAAGACTGCTTTATCAATGCAATTGCATTATGAACGGAAATACAACTGCATTCATATGGATTTAACTATTGAGCCAACGCCGTTATGCACAAATGAACTATCACCAGCGATTTTGATTTTAGAGGAGTTTGAAAAGTTGTACTTGAATCATCTTGTTATTTTGAGTACCAATAATATCGAAAACCAAATAATGGTGGGCTTTATTGATCGATTTATTCTAGCCAATGTGATTAATGATAAGTTTGGTAAATTGGTTAATGAATTGGCTGATTTTGAAGCGATCAATGAATATGACTTGGAAACTGCTGTCGGTGATGATGAGGATGAAATGATGAAGTTGCGATATAATAGAAAGAGTATAGAGTTGATTACTTGAAATAGATGGGAAGCATTGGGGCTAGTTTATTTATAACGATTGAAATTACTATAGCCGACGGGTGTAATTTTTCTAGCAGCTGACCTCTCTTTATAGTTACCAAATGAAGGACTCAATTCGACTGGTTAATCTAGAAAAGTGGAGGGCTTGCTCTCTTTTAGAGACTTGTATGATTTGGAAATACACAGAGGACTAAGGTGCTGCCCCTTGTTTCATGAAAAGATCTTTATGACAAATCCTAAAACAAGATCCTTACTAGACATATTCATGAAGAGTCAAAAGTGAGAGGATTCAGCGTCAAGAAATCGCAACCAGAGATCAATAGAGTGTTACCAAGGGGTGTAATAGGAAACAGTATGATACACAAGTACAACCAATTCCTAGTAAATGTTTTAGCAAGTCTGCATCACCAGGAACAAGACTTCAACACCCCACAACCAACACCAATCAATTTTTAAATGTTTCAAAACTTCCACATCCAATGCCAATAAATATTTCAAATCTGGGTTGTAAATCATATTGTATGCCACAAATAGCAGATCAAGCCAGGTTTGAACAAAACGACAAGCAGAAGAAACGGACAACATAAATATTGTCACTGCATCCAGTACATTCTTTTGGTTTCACTAGGAGTGGTTATGAAGACCAGGAAAGGAACACAAACAGTAAAGATTGCGCTCTCACATTACTTTCATAATGTGGGCTATTCCAAAGTCTCGTTTCTCCCGTATGTACCAAGTACTTGTATAGCAGTATCTAGTTTCTTTCTGTCGATTGTTCCGTCGTTCTTTGACCGAAGCCGGTCAAGGATGAGATTCAAGCGGATGTGTAATATGACTGACGTACTTGTTATATCTATCACATCTACATATGTGGTATGTCCATTGAGTATTCGTTTATGATGTTCATAAAACCCTTTTAGCTGTGAATTGAATTGTTTCTCACTAATGTGTGTCTCATGCACACTTAAAGCTTCATTATGACGTGGCCACAACATTGCTATGCTGTCCAATATTTCTTCGATAGTATCAGCTTGGGTTAAGCTGTCATTTATCTCTCTGTTTACTTCGCTGACCAGCTTTATTGAATCAAATGCAAATTGGCGAAATGTCCTGAACTTGAAACGAAGATGCGTTGTTTTCAACGTAGTCATCATGTTGACTAAATTCTCTTGCTTGTTCGTTACAGATGTGTGCACACTCATTAGTTCCCCTATTATACAACGTATTAACGGGTTGGAATGCTTTATTTTCAGATTTTGCTCGCCACTTGGTGTTTGGTAGGTGACATACTCAGCTGGATCATCACTCAATGACAATTGTTCAGTTTCCGCCGATTGTATTGATGCATGTTGAGAAGCTGGCGCTTGCTGCAAAGATGGTGATTCTGAGATTGGTGATGATTCTGATGTTGGTGATGCTGAGATTGGTGATGCTGATGTTGGTGATGCTGATGTTGGTGATAATGCTAAGATTGATGATTCTGATGTTGGTGATTCTGAGGTTGGTGATTCTGATGTTGGTGATAATTCTGAGATTGATGGTGGTTGTGATACCAATTCATTTTGTTGAGCAATGATTGCCTCTCTGTAAAGCTTCCTGAAAGCTTCTATGTTTGTTAATGGTTTGTCATCTTTAGGTTTCTCGTCAACTTTGACAGCATTCGGTTTTGCAGCTGCACTTTTTGATATGTTTTTGATGAGTTTGGTGAATGGTTTCAACAAGCATCTGAGAAGTTGTGGATGTCTCCGTTGTCTGTGTGTAATGAAAGTAATGCTTTCCCATTTAATAAACTTCAAAGTAGCTGTTAGTGATGTAGAAGTGAGTGATGGTGATGATGTAATGCTTGGAGTGGTGTTAATTAATAATGTTGATAAACTGAGCTGTAATGGTTTCATCTTGGAAGCAGATGAAACGGATTGCATTGATTTCAAAACGTGGATGGAGGGGTAGGTTAGCTTTTTAATGAAAATAATAATGAAACGCTTATGAATTCAATGAGATAAACTGTA